TATCCGTGACGGGAGAAAATGAGCAATACAACATCGCGAAAAGATTTCGCTCTCGTTTTATGCAAGTCTTTGTCAAAGAGTATTGGAACAGATATTATAAATTCGTTTCATCAGACAAGCTTCGAACAGCGCAAAGTGCCATGTCATTCGCCTATGGACTCTTTGAGGGCCGAGGGCCTGTGGGCTCGTCAAAATTTCAACCCGTTGCTATCTCCTTTACCGGCCTCGAAAACAACGACAAATTGCTTTCATCTGACGATTCTTGTCCAAGATATGAAGTTGATGTCAAAGAACATGGAGTGGCCGAGGTGGAAAATTTCATGAAAGGTCCTGAGATTCAAAACGTGACAAGGCGACTTGAACAAAAGCTTCAGCTATCAGGGAGGTTGTCTCTAACCTTCGATATGGTGGAGAAGATATACAGGCTTTGTGCATTTGGGATCATGAATCGTGGGGATAATACCTGGTGTGCTTTGCTTGACGATGAAGACGTAAGAGTATTGGAATATCAAGGAGATCTGGAAGCTTATTACGAGCATTCCTATGGAAATGAGCTGAGTTATAAGATACTTTGCCCTCTTCTAACAGAAATGACAAAACAACTGCAAGATTTCTCCAAGGGGAAAAGTGATGTTCATGGTGTGTTTAGATTTGCTTCTTCGGGCTCCCTAATACCGCTTCTTACAATCTTTGGCCTCTACAAAGATTCTCTGCCTTTACGAGCGGACAACTACCTCCAGCAAAGCCAACGACAGTTTCGGATTTCAAATATGGTGACGATGTCGGCCAATATTGCCCTTGTGTTGTACGAGTGTAACTCAACAGAAAACGAGGTAACACGCGAACACAAGGTGCAACTGTTGGTGAATGAGATGGCAGTTGGTCTGCCCTGTTGCCATGGAAACACGACCTGCACCCTCGACGGGTTTGTGTCTTGTTTTGAGGAAACTGTGAGGAGCTGTGATTTTGACGCCATGTGTTCCTTGCCCACTACTGGAAAGCCAAAGGCCTTAGCTCCGATATTTTATAATCGTTTGGACCTGATGTTGTTAGCATTAGTAGCGCCCCTTGTTGTTGAGAATATGATATCGTAAAATGACCGTCAATTTTACACAAGAAACTACACAAGACATTCACAGCAATAACGTTAACCTGCATAGCATTCGTTTCCTACTCTCTCTGGGGACTCCGCAGTAAAATAGCTTCAAACTCTATCATGTGCGCTATCCTATTCGTGTCTGTGCATGGACCTATTCGGCAAACTCAGTGTTGTGCCCAATTCAAATCTCCCGGGGTTAAGATTCTTTGTGTATTGTATTTGCACCATAATGTGACATTCACATTTAAATGATATGGAAATTCCTGAAACAAAACGGTTTATTCCCAAAGGGTTTGAATTGGGTACAACATTGAGTCAGCCAAATAGGTCTATTGTGGGTTTTCCAATAGCGTGCTCAGTCGTTTCGGCGTTTTGCACACTTTATTACGCACTCCTCCCACCTTCCAGCAGCCATGAACTCAATCTCTACAAGGAGCTCCCTACTCCCACTGCCTTGGGCTGACTGGCCCCACCGAGAACATATCACTTAGCGCAAACGAATTTTCGTAATTTGCTCAAATTCACCCGCCATTGAGCAAATTATCATGAAAATTCATTTGAGCAAGGACAACAACAACTAACTGCAGAGTAAGTTTCATTAACCGTTATTGAGTATCTCCTAAAAATTTTAGGATCGTATTTTTACCCCATACAAATACTGTTATTTATTTTTACTAGAACCGTACTGTGGTATTGTCACAGAGCCTGGGTTACCTGTGGCTTGTATAATACAAATAAATCAGCCTGTTATTCACAAGATAAAAATAATAATCATTATATAAATAAAAATAATTCTTTTAGTATTAGTTTTGTTGTTTCTGGGTATTAATTAATAGCTAACAATAAACAACAAATACAAATTAAAGACATATAATTCAATGACAATAGATGTTAATACAAACTCATCTGAATTTTTCCTCCAACTTTCTTGGCTACTCCAGAATGAAGTATTAGAGAGCAGAAACAGACCTACAGTAAAATCATAGGAGCTGTAATGATAATTTGCAGATTGCAATTACGTGACTTAAATCAAAAGCACTGTTTTTTACCACACATCTTATAACTGGCTCCAGTTTTTCATTTCCTTCACTGTTCTTTTACATGTTGCATGAAAATAGCTCTGCTATCACAGAGGTAGTCTGGTAAAGAAAATATTATTATAGAAATTTATGTCAAGAAACATTCGCAGCTTTAGTAAAGAAAAGGACACTGTAGCCCAAATGCGTCCTGCAATTGTTTCTGGAATCGTAACTGGGGATGCGCTGGTCAGCTTTTGACCTATTTGTTTTCCCTTTCACTAGTAACAGTCTAGAGGTCTTTGTGAAAGTTAACTTGTCCCAGTTATCCTCTCATTTCTTAAGTGGCAAATTTATTGAAAATTTATAGATCCCTCTGCATGCAAGGTATCTTTATCTTCTACAATAATATTTTTCCAATTTCCTGTTCTAACAAACATGAAGCAAATTGAGGTATTGTTTGCTTTTAGAATGGTCAGTTTGACATGCATCACATGCGTAGTAAATCCTGCAAGAAAAAGTGAGTAGCTTCTATGGTAGAGGTTACAGCCTGAAAATGTATTAGTAAGTGTTGCAGTTGGCAAATTGTGCCACAAAAAATCAAGCATCACCACAGAAAAGTAATGTAATGTACAATGAAGTTGAAGAAGTTGCTGAGATTGATTGTTTTCATATGATCCCTCCTGCTTTTTTATGTAACTCATGTTGTTCCTATGCTAATGCAACCATTAATTTTTTCAGGATAATTTTCATAAGAGAAGCAGGAAGGTTTGTTTCTTAAAATGGAAAACTGCACCCTAACATTCACACAAAAGCTAGGTTGCTAAGCACAACTGAGAGACAGCTTATAGTTTGACGTGTGGTTATAGCAAGACACCAATAAGTAGCACAGGTGGAATTCTCTTTTCCATGGCTTTTAGCATTTACGAAGTCGTTCATGTGGCTTGTCTGTCATGTAGTTGTTTATGCTAAAAGCCATGAAAGAGAGAAGCCTCTGCTCGCAGGGTACATTCAAATAACATAAAAACATCTGAGAAAATGAAATGCCTGTTTCTCTTGTCACAATATATCCTCTTCAATGTTCAGGAAAGAGTACAATAAATAAGCCTTTAAGTTCACTGGTAATGGAAGATCTTTAATCTGGTTTGGAGGAACCAACTTGTTTATTGCCAGTCGGCACATATGCTGCAATTCAAACTTTAAAGGCAGCTGCCAAATCCGAACAAAGCCATCATTTTCTCCGACGGCTAGTTCCTGACAGCTCCTTGTAAAAGCAACAGAGCAGACAGCTCTAATATGTGACTCTCCAGAAATAGTTTCCTGTGCAATATTATGGCTGGTAACTAACTGATACAATGTTTGGAAAATTTCTGTTTCTGTGATAATGACCATGCCTTGAGATGTGCCAAAAGCTGCTAATGATCCATCAGGGCTGTACGAGAATGCTGTCAACCGGTCTGAATTTTGTACAAGCTGTAATTCTCTAGTACATTTGGCCTGTCCATCTTCAAAATACCAAACCTGGAACAGACCATCCTCAAAACATGCTGCTAGTTTTTGATGTGGATATCCTGGATCGAATGCACAAGTACAAGGATTACCTGCAACAATGTCTGTCCTTATTGCAGAAAACAGTTCTAAATTCTCACTTTTTAAAACGTACAGTTGGCTCAGTGAACTGGATATGGCAAGAAGAGTGCTATCAGCTGAAAAAACACAGCTTGCCAGATGACCTGTAAACCGAGGCAACACCACTTCACAGCTCACACGCCAATAACTCTTTAGCCTTTTCTTGGAAATCACTTGCCACAGGCAAATTTCATTTGTTTCTCTGCCGCGGTGATTCTCTAAAGTAACATTGCTAACTGTTACAGCCTTGAAACCGTCTGGAGAGAAAACACAACATAAAGCTCTTGAAAGCAGACTTCGATCCCCATAACCTGCTGTATCGCAGTCTATTTTCAAAGGCTCAAGGCTACAATCTGGGCCGAGCTCAGCCAAAATTATATGCCCGTTCCCTGTGTTTAAAATATACGACACGATTTCTCCATTTGGAGAAAAACAACACACAGGACGCGGTGAATACGTAAACAGGCTATCGTCTTGTGTTTCTTGGGTCTGCTCAAGATCCCAACATTGAAAAAACCCTGCTCGAAAGTTCCTAAGAGGAAGCCCCGCGAAGGTTGTAAGAGTCACTAAACTTTTGTCATCGTTCGGCGGAAAAGCACAAGCTGTGACCTTCATAACTTGATTCAGTCCTAAAGGTCCCGAATGCTTGATTTGTTTAAGGACGGTTAACGGCGGAGGGAAGAGTTTGCCATCAGCATGAAATGGACGGTAAGGGAAACTGCAAAGATTTAACGGGCTCTGCTCGGACGTCTCTTTCGGTTTGCAGGAATCTAATCCCATTGTATCCCAACCACTGATCATGCAGTTACTCTGTTCACTTAAGCAACAGAAATTGTTTCCAACTAGATAGTGGAACTCATTGGAAGATTATCTCCCTCGCTATGCCTTTCCATTTTCGACAATCAGCAAGTCGCCATTGTCGCCATAATGCATTGCATGTTTGTCTCGTCCCCAGATTTCCTCGGTTGTATCGCGACTCTCATACCCAGGGGACGACGGCCAAGGTGGCTACCAATTTTACGTTTTTTGACGGTTTGGACTTTGAAAGGAAAGAACAAAAAAACAACCCAAAGCAATAGCAGCACTTTGCTGCTTCAAACTAACGAGTGCTTGAATTAAAGACCGGTTACCATGGCAACTTAAGGATCAATTATGCTTTATTGTTGAGCCCCAAGATTCTTTCTTCTTCTTTTTTCAATCCCCTAAGCATCGGAGCCTGTTACACACAAAATAAACCAAAAGGGCTTCCTAATAAGCAACTTTATTACACAATTTCAATTTGGCATTCGATTTAAGTCTAAAAAGAACAAAGATTATTCTGTACAAAATATAGTAATAGAAAATATATTTGTTTTCATTTATTTCACATTCCACACCAACAAAAATTTAGCAAACTTTAAAAATAAAGCTTCGTTTGATTTCAATTCTGTACATGTTTTTAGCCCCTGTTATTAGAGCACGTTTCATCATCCTTGAGAATGAAAAGTGGAACCTTAACTTTACCGGTGGAAACTGCGAGTTCCGTTTACGAGTTTTCACAAGAATTTCCCGGCGATATCTGTGCCGCCATCTTCATTTTATCGAGAGAGGAGTACGAGTGAAACTTGTGTCAAATGAGACAAGTTCTTTGGTAAATTGAAAAGACCCATTGTATAAGAGTTTAGGTCATTTTCAATTTGTCCCCAGACTCATTTTCATAACGAGGCTATAGCCTGTGTCTATTTTTTGAGGGGAGGGGGCGGCCGTATGCAGGCTACGAGGTTAGTCCTGTTTACTTCTTAGATATTGATCATTTTGGGGTGGACTGGGTCGGTGTTGTGTCGCATTGTACCATGGGCCAGTTCTGGGATCCGGTGTCCAGTTTAGCGTGATAACAGCCAACAAAAATGAGATAACGACCCCAAAACAGGCCTACAGTGCGATTGGACCCAGTCCACGCGCAACCTCAAATGGCCAATGAAAATAAACTTCTCTTCTCACGCGAATAAAACCTGTCTTAACCAGAATTCTTTTTCACTTGGCCTTAATTACAAAGCGAGGATTTTTACAACTCGGAAATAGCCTCTTACGCAATGTTTCTCCGGTCATTTGCATTACGTCACTTGGTGATCTACCCCCCCTTTAATTAATCTCGTATCCACATATCACTTTTCTTAGCTGAAAATTAGCGAGACCTGGATAGGAGATTAATTTTCATTAAGATGTTATTAAAAGGATTATCATTGCCATCGCGTTTTTCTCATCGACAGATTAATTCCACAGTTATTTTTTGGCTTTTTGCTATCTTTTGGAGTCAGCATTGTGGCTGTGTTTCCTCCGCAGCGCTTCTTTTCTTTCCTGGGCCTCTCTCTTTTTAGCATCCTGATTAAGATATTTGTTGCAGATCTCCACCATCTTGCTCTGTCCCGAGTTCAGCGCCACCTCAGCGATCTCCCGTATGGCCTCCACGCGGTCTCCCTTGACGGCGATCAGATAAGCTGATTTGAGCTTGCCGCACATGACAAACGCGTTTATCTAAAGGAAATAAAGATATTTTTGACAATTACTCTTTTTTAAAGGTATTAAACAAAAGAAAATCCTCGGTTTTACCTTGTTCGTGTCGCTCTTGAGAAGTTTAATAAGTCCCTCAAGGTTCTTCGCCTGTTGCAAAGTTAAATGTGAAAGACAAAAGAAGAATTAAAAAAAGAAAGGCCACTACTTGTGTATTCATGATTTGTTAACAAAATTAGCCGTCGGATTCACTACGAATCCTCACTTCAAGGAAGAACAATTACTAAAGTATAGCGGAAAATTTAATTTTGAAGATTTTGCTTTGTGTCTTAAAGAAACGTTTTCATTGCCAGTAAAAAAACTCTGTTTTTCCTTGCTGTAAATTAAGCAATTTCCGTAGTTCTCAGAAACTTTATAAACTATTTCTGTACTCAGCTAGGAAGCTTTGCTCAGTAAAACTGTAAAGCCAATCTAAGTCAATCCATCCAGCTTATTATTTAGCCTGCTAGGTGGGTGTAGGACAAGTGACAGAGGAGAACGATCAGGCACAACAACCTGAGGGGGTGAGCCAGCGTGCTCTCTATTGTGCCCTTTACGTTAAATAACTCTTTCCCTTCCCCACTCCAACTCCTTACACGCAGAATATTGATTGCTGCGAAAACACCGAGCCCAAAAATTGAAAAAAAAAAATCGAAAACATGTAGAGCCACACTGTGATGAAGACTCCCAAACAAGATCTGGACGCACCTGGCTCTGGTCAGCGCATACAATGCTGACGCATGCCAGTATGATGTCATCATGGCACTTCTCTGAGACTTGTCCAGTTTCTCCTGAACAACTTAGAAGCTCTTCAATATGCGAGAACTTGTACTGCCGCGCCAAAGAGCGGCCAACGTCTACATAAACACGTGCTGCTGGTAGATTATAATCCTATACAAAATAAAAGAACTGTGTTGCTATTCAATGATTGTGTATTTCATGGTGTACCGAATACTGTTCACTGCTAATGCAAAGGCTCTATTTGGCTAGGGTTGCCAGGGTGACTTGAGTGACTAGGGTGACTAGGGTTACTTGGGTTACTAGGGTGACTTGGGTACTAGGGCGACTAGGGTGACTTGGGTAACTAGGGTGACTAGGGTAACTAGGGTGACTAGGGTGGCTTGGGTGACTAGGGTGACTTGGGTAACTAGGGTGACTAGGGTGACTTGGGTGACTAGGATGACTTGGGTGACCAGGGTGATTGGGGTGACTAGGGTGACTTGGGTAACTAGGGTGATTTGGTTGACTTGGGTGACTAGGGTGACTAGGGTGACTTGGGTGACTAGGGTGACTTGGGTGACTAGGGTGACTTGGGTGACTTGGGTGACTAGGGTGACTTGGGTGACTTGGGTGACTTGGGTGACTAGGGTGACTGGGGTGACTAGGGTGACTTGGGTGACTAGGGTGACTTGGGTGACTAGGGTGACTAGGGTGACTTGGGTGACTAGGGTGACTAGGGTGACTTGGCTGACTTGGGTGACTAGGGTGACTGGGGTGACTAGGGTGACTGGGGTGACTAGGGTGACTTGGGTGACTAGGGTGACTTGGGTGACTAGGGTGACTTGGGTGACTAGGGTGACTTGGGTGACTTAGGTGACAAGGGTGACAAGGATGACTTGGGTGAGTTAGGTGATAGAGGACAAGATAGAGAACATTATGGATTACAGCGAAATTCGTTGTATCCTGCTGCGAGCTTTGCAGAATTCGAAGGAATTTTGGGTTTTTCTGTTCCGTCAATCATCCTAGCGACCTCTTAGGAAACACATGTCTACTTAGTTTTGGTTTGTGACTTGTGATTGGTGGATTTCAATCCGTTTTCTTTGTTTCGTGTTTCAAGGTTCGTTGCTTTGCAATTGTCCTGTTTTGGACTAGAATCGACTAGTCAAGTTTGCTTCGAAGATTTTTCTGATCTTTCTTATTCGTGTCACTTGCCAGAATAAAGCAACGTCTACCTCCTTCCTTCGACAAAAAATCCACTCACCATCGGGATTACCTTCGCTATTTCGGAACAATCTGGAGTTATTCTCAGTCAGGCTGAGCGAGCACGCTATATTGTGATTTGCATTAACCCCGCCTTCACTCAAATGATTGACGGAACAGAAAAACCCAAAATCCCTTAGAAGTTTGCAATACACGCAGCGCAAAACAACGAATTTCGCCGTAAGACTGTCTCCAACACTGGCTAAGTTTTATCGAGTTCATTCTGACTAGCGAACTCCGAAAAAACATTGAAAAATATTGAGTACATCTTGAAGAAAAGTTAGCAAAACAAGAAACATAGAGGATAAGAGTGCTAAAGGAGGGAATATACCTGAATTAGAACAAACCCTTAAACAGTTGAGTGCCATAAGGAAAGTTTTTCGCTTTGCGTTATTGTATAAAACAAACAGATTACCTTTTGCCGTGACAGTTCATTTTTATATCAGAAGAATAACAATAATTGACTTGGTGTCAAACCTGTATTATTCGGCTTGCTAAAATAAATCCATCATGAATAGACACCCCTGCAAGCAGAACCTAAAAAAACAAACGAAACGGAAAAGAGTTAATTCACAGCCTACTAGCGTTCATATTTGCTAGTTTGGTAATTCTAAGTTTTATTTCAAGTACCAAAAATCACGAAACTTTCGGCCAGTCTGATAAATTCCGTATTTACCTGCACCACCAACTCTCCTCTGACATGTCCATTTCCAAACAAGGTGGGTAGGCGACTTCCGTCGCTCGCTCTCAGCAAGCCAGTACCCCCACGTTCTACTGCACACTTGTGCATAAAGTTTGTGACTTCGATCTGTAAGTTGATAGTATTGACGTGACTGTTCAGCTCTGAAAGTGACATGGCCACGTGCGAGGGTTCCTCCGTGGCATTCTTTGCGCTAGCCGTGCCGCGTTGTCGTAGATAAGCGAACACAGTATTCACCGTTCCCTTGGGAGATTTCTTCTCCGCGATCACGGTCTCGATATGGCGTTTCGCTTCCTCCAAGTGGTGGAGTCGGGCGAAAAGGTCCTCGTATGATGTCACTGAACCTCCGGCCGCGCCTTCGTAAAAACGGATACAAGTCTGTGCGGCGCGGAAAAAGTCCTGAAAATAATAGTTTCCCTATAATTTAATAAATCTGAATATGCAATAAATACCCCGTGGCCGAATCAGCTATTATGAATATAGATGTTTAAAGACAAAGTATTGGCGATGTTGGAGCTTTTACTGGGGCGCTGATAGGTCGAGAACTACGGTCTATGGGAGTATAGAGCATGAAAATGTTGTGATGACGGCGCTATTTCCCGAGCATGATTAGAAGGCGATTTCAAGCGAACGGACATTAAAATCTGTCAAGGTTACTGTAAGAAACAAATAGGAAACAATTGTCTATGGTCTACTCTCCTACAAATCATAGAAATGACGTACAAAAAGGTTCAGAAGTTCGCAGTAAAACCAATCGCTGCGTCTTGTGGTTCCACTAAAACGGTTTGGCGTCATTTCTATGGTCTATAAGAGTGTAGACCATAGAAAATTACCTTCTCTTTTTGTTAACTAGTCCGCAACATAGAGACACTGGCGCCCTCCCCCCAGTTAGCGATAACATTGACCCTAAATCCAGATTCTCATTTTCCACCACCCCTACCTATTGAAGCTTATTGAAGAAACCATCAATGTCTACTTACCCTCATGAACACCTGTACTTCATACAGCTGATGATGAAAACTTCTTCGAAGCAAAAATTTACAAGTGGCAGTCAAGTATGGCATCCAGGACTGTAAAGACGGGTCAGCAGTTTCCATTTGTTCTTTCAGCTGTGACCAACTGCCTTTAAGAACGAGCCGCATGAAGAAACTTTCGATGAAAACTTCCGTGGGGCATTGCTAAGGAGGCAAAAAAACCAGCAAGGTCAAGTATTCTGTCGTGTGCTAATTTCTTGTTTGAGGTGATGTTAAGGTGATGTTACATAAGGGACGATTCGCGGCGACCATTTTTAGCGCAACACAGCGTTACAACATTGTTTTTACATTGTTTCCAATGGCTGCAATATTGTTCCAACATTTGAACCCTGTGTTGCGCTAAGAATCGTCGTTGCGAATCGTCCCATGTAACATTACCTTTACAAGAGACAATTCGCAAGTCTGTAAGTAACTAAGTAAATAAGTAAATAATATATAACGATTGAGAGGTAGCACATCCACACAGTGGTTCTACCTTTCCTGGTCGAATTGGAATTTGGAAATGTTGGTTTTTGAAGGGAGGCGAAAACCGAAGAACCAGGAGTAAAACCTCTTGGAGCAGAGGAGAGAACCAACAACAAACTCAACCCAAATGGCGTCAATGCGTCTAGAAAGGCTTATTTTCTAACGAGAACGGCACCAAATACTTTTTCTCGGTGTATTTAACATAAAACAAAACGTTAACAAAATTTTAAATTTTTTGACCAAAACCATGGACTAACCCCTTTGGAAAAAATGCCAATTTTGTGGGTTTTTTAAACCGATGTTTTCATTGTCCAGAAAGGCTTGTTTGCTATATAAAACGTCGAAAATCGTTTTTTCACGTTTTGAACCCGGGCCACATTGGTGGCAGGAGAGTGCCGCTCTCACCACTGCGCCAACCCTTGCTCCCGAAAAAAAAGAAAATAGCGAAATCATAAAAATACTGTGACATAGCTGCTTCAACCCCTTCACTGTCAGAGTACTTGATGGAGTTTTGTAAGGCGACTCCAACTTCTGAGTCTGCAGACGAAATCCTATTGAAACGCTACTTGTTTGTCAAAATGTTAGAAAAAGAAATTTGGAAATTTGGTCGAAATTTGCCTTTAGCCACATTTGGCAGTGAAAGGGTAAAGAATACAAATATAGATTAAACAGTGGACTTACCTGATCTAGGATGTATCTGCAGGCATGTTTAAAGCAACCGTGTCTTACATAAAAGGCCACACGAGAAGAGGGACTGCCGTACGTTTGAAGATAATAGAGGCATTCATCAAAACGCTTAGGGTCAAGGGATGAGTTACCACCTTGGAAACTCTACAACACAAGCACAGAACCAACAGAGACCTTTAGATTCGAGGGGGAGAACGACTACGAGTATGAGATTTGATTTAAGTTTTTTTCACGTATTGTCAAAAAATAGACACCCCGGAATTTATCATTGTACTTTTTTTCACCAGAAAAGTTAGCACTGTTATCGTTATCGACCTTGTCACCGTTTTCGACGCCATCTTGACGAGTAGGCAAACGCGTGAGAAATTACAGTGATTGTATGAGAATCTAATGTCGAATAATTTCCTTAGAACGGCTGTTCTGAAAAAAATATGATTTGTAAACTAAAGCTTCACTCCTAAGGATTCTCCTGAAAAAATTTGAGGGCGTTACATGCGCTAGAAGACTTAGAACCACTTTTTAAAACTTTCTATACATTTGTCGGTAAGAAAATCCCGGGAAAACTACAGACAACTATATGGAAAATCTAAAGAAAGCCTCTGGAGAAATTTAAGCACAGGTACGCCCTCAAATTTTTTTTAGGACAATCCTTTGCTTTGTAGCTTTAGTTTACAATTGATATTTTGTTCAGAACAGCCGTTTTATGGAAATTAATCGACATTAGCTTCTCATACGAACACTGTAATTTCTCACGCGTTTGCTGGCGTCGAAAACTATTAACAGAGGTTAAGACCTCTTCCGATTGCAAAATGCTAAAACGTCTATTACACATTTGATAACTTGTTCCCGCCACTACGACACTCTCGCTAAAACTCGTAGTAGAATGATGGCGGCTACCACGTTTTCCCGCCAAATTGACGCTAGAATGAAATGGCGGCTTTACGCCACCAAACGTTTTCCCGCCAAATTGACGAGGGTTCACGCGCCAGTTTTGCCCACAAGAATCGTTCACTGTTTTTATCTGCTTATTTTCTATTCTGAGAAAAACTCGTTTGCCGTTTGCCGTATGACGTCGTTCTCGTCTTAGAAAATCTAGATTCGTAATCGTTCTCGTCTTAGAATCTAAAGCGCTCTAATGACAAAACTGAACGAGGAAAACAAACTTACGACGAAGCAATCTCTTCGAGTGTTCTTCACCTAGATAGGAATGCCTCTTGTGATGGTGACAAAAACTCTTGTGATTATCGTGTATTATGTCAAGCGTTATAAACAGAAGTGAACCAAAAAAATTTGATAAAACGGAGAAAATGATAACTCACCCTACTGTTTTCCAAAAGACCGTTGAAAGGAGACATAAGATCATCAGTGGACTGCAGATCAAATATTAGCACGTTAACAAGGAAACACATTGAAGAGTGAGAAAAAATGAAAAAATCTTTAACACTAGAGAAGCTGCCACGCCCTAGCTTTCAATTTAGAATAACACATGCATCTACAGTCACATTGAAAAATATTGTGTTAGTCACTTTTCACTTTCTTTTAGGGGAGAAAGCAATCATGCCGGAAAACTCCGAACTGCTGTGATACGCCTTACGCACCTGTTTGTAAGCCAGAATAGGTGATGACTGAAGAATATTGATGATCTTCTCCAGGTATTGTGAGTTGTGTTGTTGATGCTGTTTTCCTCCTTCCTCAGGCTGCAAAAAGCACAATTTAGTTCACTTCTGTTATCACGATTGGTCACGTTGAGGGTTAATTAAATGAATTAAAAAAGAGTAAATAAAGGAACCCAAGGAACGTACTGATGGATAGGCGGAAAAATGAATGGTTGTTCCCTTTTAACTCGGTTTTTAACAGCCAAAGATGATCAAAGTCAAAATTCAACAAAATTTCTAAAATTCATTTTGCAAAATACCGAAAACCAAACTTTTGAATGGTTTCATCACAGGATTTCATCCACAGACTCAAAAGTTAGAACCACCTTAGAGACACAGTCACTCACTCTGGCAATGAAAGGTTTGAATGCAAGTTAGAAGGAAACGCCATATCACATCACATCAGTTCTTTTCAGCGAAAAGGCGTCAAGGTAGATTGGGCGTTCTTTTACCTTCATACAGCGACTAAACTTCTCTCGAGCTCCAGGAAAATCCCCCGCTTGTAGGAGAGAAAAGGCGGCCGCACCCCACACCCCTGAGGGGTCAAGCCCACACTTGGTAGACACCTCCATAGCAAGGGTGAGACGCTCTGCTTCGATGAAGCGGTCACGAAGACGCCTACAAAGGTAATATAAAGAAAACGATTGAAAGATATTACCAACCTCGAAGATCAACGAAGGTAATCGTTAACCTCTTGAGCTCCAATATCTACATATACATCTACAACGTTAATCTATAACGGTTTCCCATTACATAGATACTGTCAGCTACAGCTCACAGCATTGACAGGAATGCTGGAGCTCTAAAACGTGCCGCCATGTTGGTAGATGCATCCACATACAAATTCTCCAAACTTATCTCCATACAATTCCTTAAAGAAATGATTGAGATAAGTTGATAAAAAACCAAAGCATTTTTCCGTAGTTGATCATTTTATTAATTCTCATAACCCGTTTTCTTGATTATGTATCGATACTATTAGGAGAAAATTGAAATTGGACACTCTAAGGAGAGATTCAAAAGATGAATTTTCGAGTGCTAGCCCCCATCAATAGAAGTGCTTCAGATGGGCATTCACCATTGCTACTTACCCTCTCCACCCCTCTACCTAACAAATCTGAACCCTGCCCCTTCCACTGCCTCACCTTGCAGAGTCAGGATGCATGAGGTCACGCAGTGAAGGAATATCTCCACAGTTGGACTCTACAAGAAACTTCATAAGATCCACGTGACCAAGATACCTGTGACAACAGAACGAGAATAGAGTGTGATTAACGTGACGACTCAAAATAAATTTCCTACCATACAGTCGGTACATAATTATCATAACAGTTTTTTTTTAAAAAATGCAAATTTACCGCCAACAATTATACTAGAGACCTTTCCGACTACGATGACGAGATTTTCTCAATGCTATATAGAAAGGTGCATGTGAGCCAGCGTCATTTTGGCGGGAAAACGCGACAGCCGTCGTCATTCTACTACGGGTTGAGGCAAAAATGTCGAAGTGGAGGAAACAAGTTATCAAATGTTAGAAGTCCTATCATTTTTCGATCGAAGAGTGTTTAACCCCCTTGAACAAAAGTAACCTAGCTATACTTTATGTCAAAAAAGGAAAAATGAAGCTTTCTGGGGTGTCTATTTTTTTTTTGGAATACGCGAAAAAATCTTAAGTTGAATCTCGTCTTCGTTCTCATACTCGAATCAAAGGGTCTCTACTGTTTACTTTAGAAAGTGATGACACTTGGTACATACGTATCGCACAGCTCTACGCCTTGAGTCTCTCCTGTCTTCAGCATCTTGAGTTTCGCGTTAAACAGCAGATAACGTATCATACTGACAAAAGAGTAATACTATCATTATGATTCCACTTAAAACGTTTGGCTAAATGAGCGAGTCTAAGCATCTAAGCTCTCGACTACTACTTAAAACGTCCTGTTTCCAGTGTATTTTTAACTTCTGAGACCCGCTCTAATAGGTAACTTATGGTGGCCACGAAGACCTGAGATGGCGGTCCGAAGACATCGGTCATAAGAGACCACATCAAATGAACGTTGTTTCCAGAACGCTCGCCCCATTCCTTTGCGACAACTAAATAGAAGTCTACGTGAATAGAACTCAAAACTAAAAGGCAAACTGTGAAGAAAACTACAGAAGTAGTCGAAACGAAAGCTTAGTCGTTAATAGAGTCTACCATTCATGCAGAAGTATAACTGTAATCATTTTATACTTCAATCGACCAAAATGGATAAATCGCCACCGAGTGAAATACTAGTCGGTCACTAGCAACAAAACAATTTTAATACGATGCCCTGTTGTACGTATTGATAAAGATAAGATAAACAATAAAAAGAAGAATCTTGTTTGAAATATATTCCATGAAACAAAAATAAATAAAATGTAAAGAAAACCCTCACACGACAGACTGAGGAGAGCTCTAGAGATTGATTACTGATGCTTCAACAATGCAATTTGAGCCAATCAACTTTGACATCACGCGCTAGAGCTTAGTTTTCCATACTCATAACGTACCTGATCACAAGATTGTGGTCCAGCTCCTCATTCCTGACTCCTGGGGCCACAGGGACCAACTTTTGGGAGAGCGAGTTACAAAGGTCTAGAATGAGCCTACCACAGGCCCTGGTGTCACTGTGAAGGTCCAATATGGATACACACAAGGAAGCACTGGGCGCCTGGTAATGTAAAATGATCACCATGGTGATACTGGTCATCAGAATTCAGAGGAAAACATTGTATTGTCTCGAAAGCAATTAGGAAATTCGGTAATTTATAATTAGCACGTGCGAGAAGTAACAGGATAACTTCCTGAACTTGCAAATAAACTGCGGAGGAGTGTGAAGACTTGAGCGGTAGTCTTTACTATAGCCGGGATGATTGAACCCAACTCCCCCCAAGGAAAGGTTTAAAAAACCAAGCAATCTCTTTTCTAAATACAGAGCTTTGAAGCTCATTGAAAAACGCTACCTGTTCGTAAAAAAACTCTTCTCTGAGTAAAGAGTTATTCTCCTCCTCCAAACTTAGTTTCCACAGACAGCGCGCATTCAGGTCCTCAGTGAGCCATTCTGTGGAAGAATTTCCGCCCAGGTAACTACCGAACGCACTGTTGTTCGCACTCGAATCTGGGTAATCTACAAAGGTAACCAGTAAAAGAAAGAAAGATTATAGATTTGCTAAAACAACAAAGAGGAGGAGACTCCGATGGTGATTTAAATAGTGGGGTCCTGTCACAAACTTTTGAGTCGTTGTTTGAACGCGACAGAATTATTTTGAAACTGAAATAAACCTCAAAATACATAATTGAATAAAATGGGAAACGCCCAATAAAGGTAAAGTTAACTAGGAAGGATTAAGGATGGCAAAAATGGAGAAGATTAACATGGATTGCAAATTTAAAACAAAAAAATTAAGGATTAATCCACTGAGCAGCCGTGACATAACTTCTTTGAATCAGCATAAGATTCAGGTTTTCCCCAACCTACCCTTCCCCTAATTTTTCTCTTTTTTCTCGTAGTGCTTTGAGACCTTAGCACTTACTCCATTGTGACGTAAGCAGTCGTCACGTGACATAAATCATGCAATGACTCATAACAAAGAATTTTTTACCTTGGGAATGACCGGTTTCAAGAGAAACTGGTTCAGAACGAATAGGAGATGAGTATTCGTCACGGAATGGACGGGACCTAACGATAAAGTGACAAAAAAGATAAGGTCAATCATTTTGATAAACGAAGATGACAGAAAGTTAGAGAAGGCAAAGAATTTAAAACATAGGTAAAGTTTATTGATCAAGACTGTTATTGGTACTCCAGTTGGGCCAAGGAAGGTATCAACATTGACCATTTAAGGATGGACGCAAGGTTGGCTCGGTGTTGTGTACAATTGCATCATGGGATTGCTTGAGGGACATTACCGCTGCATCTTTATTTGCTACGGTAAGGTCGCGTAGGAAACTAGGTCAAGGTTCGTCTTCCAAAACGGTCCCACAGTACAATAAACACTTAATGACTGGCCGTGAGGGAAACAGTTAATTTTGTTTCCCGAAGCCACTCTTTAAGTGATTTGTTATATGGCTGGAAAGTTTGAAGCTGGAAATTCATTAAACCTCGCTCTAACGGCCGTCGTCGGTCAACATTCGCGGGTAACAGTGCACTGTTACCCTCTGACGTCAAAAAATGTTGCAATGTTGCCCGCTCATTGATTCTGGCGGGAATCAGTTCCATTGTGAGCTGTCACGTGACCTCTAAGTAACGAATGAGAGCGCGCCCTGTCTGGAAAAAATTTCCAGCTATTTAACAATTATTCGCCGAGCCCGAATGGGCTCTGAGTCAATAGCCCATGACGTCGTCTTGTTTTGAGAGAATAAACACACTCCACCGCAATTACTCGTATTATCACTTGTTTGCTCCCTGGAATTACCATGTGACATCGATGTTATCCCATCAATCCTAAACGAATGCTAGCTACATACGCACCAAGCATGCGTATTGACAGCCTGGAGATTAGAATTAAGGGTTCCTCTTGTCGCCCGCAACAATAACATTTGACAATTCACTCTATTAATCAAAAGATAACATTTACAAGTCTACCTGGTGGAATAGAAGTATTCATGGCATGTATCACATACTCTCACGGGATTCTTCCCGTATCCCGTGACAACATGATTGTGCTCAGAGCAAGTCCCGCAAACAACGCGACCACATCGCCGACAATGATGACGACGGTTGAACTGAAAAGAAGCAAAAACGAACAAGCGTCACTACGAAATGGCCGACGATGTGTAAATGTTGCCGTTCAATTTTAGTAATCCGAAAGTTCCAAGTTCATGTAGTCGAAACCCGCGTTACAGACACCCACTTGATACAACTCATCACTACGAGCAGTTGCTTTGTCCCTGGGGTAAGAAAGCCCTCGCATTTTTTTCTAAATTCAACCCACTTAATAGGGACACTTTCTATGTTCCCCTCAGTGTCCGTATTAACGTGGTTTAACTTTAACTCTCTTCGTCCAACGGTTGAGTTCAACCTTGACATGCTGAATAGATTAAAAACTATTCGTTTCAAACATTTTCCCTTCTTCACTATTTTTCTCCTATAAACACTGTAGAGAAAAAACAGAGGTCATTTGCCTCGTGCCTTTTATACCCAACAAAAACAAACAAACAAACAAACATTGAAGACATTGTGTAAGAATGAAGTCCCTTCTCCAAAAAGTAACAATTGATGAACATTTTACAACAAAGACCACAGATTTACTTCCTGTCTTTAAAGCAATCTTACACTGCAAAGTACAGCCTATATTTCTGTACAACCAACCCACGGGACCTTGGAGTAAGACGCACAAAGCGTCCGAGGACCTACCATGCTAAAGGTCTCTCTGCAGATGACACATATGGAAACTTGTTGGTCTGGCATCCAGTTGGCCTTCTTAGGAGGAGCTGCAGGTGGAACGAACATCTGCTGACCGCCATGTACTGCAGTCATCTGAGACGTCTTTCTGCCCAGACTCCCTGTGGTGCGCGGTGGAGTAGACTGGCGCTGAGTTTTCTTCTCCTTTTCCAAAGCCAATGTACGTGACTCTGTGGAAATTCTTCTTCGTGGGACGGTTTGGGATTTTCTCTCCACGCTTCCAACGCCGGACTCACGAGCCCCTCTGTCTTTCACTGGTGTCGAGGTTACGGGTGTGTAGCGCCCAGACTCAGGAAGTGGCGTCATTCTACCGCCCATTGAAGTCGAGGGAGTCGGCGATGAAGAGGGGGTGTGGATCAGACTTTGCATAATGCTGCTGCAAAGTTCTATTGAGACATAACGATTACAACTAACATCAGCAACCGTTCGCTAGTAAGAAGAAGTCTTTGTCAACTGAGATCTGTAATAAGCATTAATTTGAACCACGATCCGAGTGATCGTGGATCATAAACCCTAATCTGAATCATCCCAAAGAAACGCACCTAATTCTCTTAGAAAAGTTGCTTCAAACTACAAATGTCATATAAACGTCAAGAAATATGAACCCACTCTGCCAAAAGGCCAACTCGTCAATACGGTTAAATACTGATGGTCCATAGGTGGCGACAAGTGACCGGGGTTCCACTGGATATACCGTAGATACACTGCAGAATCGAGTATCTAACTGTCTATTGTCTTTCATGAGTTGTAAGGTGATCGCTTATTTTATATGATTTTTTAAAATAACAAAGAATAATGTTAACGATGACTTGAAGGCTTTTGAAACATGTTAAAAGATGACCTTCAAAATTTGCCTAGTCCCTAGGCCTCATTATTCCGCGCGGTCAATGCGTATCGGGTCACGTGGTCTCAGCGATTTACGTCACGGAAATGCACTGACCGAGAAGTAAGAGAAAACGCCACACAGGGACTCGGCAAGTTCGAAATGTCGTTAGAAAAGCGGAGACTAAAATACTATATGGCAAATATAACTCCTTGCTTAACATTTTTTCAAATGTACGAGTACGCTTTCCCAAGGTGCCCCAAGCCTTCGTTTCCAAGTGAGGCTAAGTACGAAGCCATTGATATGAAACTGATTTAATGAAATATTCTCATGCTTATACTACTGCATGAGAAATTACTGCAATTTGATTGGCTTAGAGCAGTGGTATTTCAGCTCAATTTGAAATACCTACATGTGAAAATTACAAACCTTTTGCGGGTAGTAGTATAAACAAATAATAGCATGATTTGTACGTGATATTTGGCATAAATACCACTTGTGATATTTCAAAATTGTCTCAAATTTCACTCGCCTAACGGCTCGTGAAATTACGTATAACAATTTCGAAATATCACTCGTGGTATTTATGCCAAATATCACCACAAATCATGCTATTACCTATACAAATAAAACTCATTACCACAAGAGAAATTTTGCACTTAGCCCCGTGTTGAAAATGAGGGTTTTTGGAACTCGGAAATGGCCCTTTACCCACCTCTGGTCTGACTTCGCTCCAACTGAACAACCTGAAACTCCAGCGCTTTGGCAGAGTAGGTAGCTAACAGCTCATCAAACGCCTTCACAGTACATCCGTGATCACCTAGACTTTCGACATCTTCCATGCAGCTCAGGTCAACCTGTTATAATCCCAACACGTTTTCGATCATTACACGTTTTCTGGGAAACTGCCAACCTACCCCTCCCCTAAGACATCATCAACTCTTAGTTCTCACTTAG